TTTAAGCACATAAAAAATCCCTCTGTGATTTTTTGGATAGCTGCTTTATCTGGCAATGTGCATATTTATCTGTGCATATGATTCAATATTTACCAGTGATCAGAACTGGTGAATTTGTAGTTCAGTAATACATAGGAACAAACTCTGTCTAGCTGGTATTAATGCAGTAACTATAATGCCTCTGATTTAAACTCTTCTTACAGCTTCTTTTCCCTTTCTTTTGCTTTTAGAATTTCTTTTTTTAAAAGTATATTAAAAAGAATTCAGTAAGAATAAGTATCACTGGAAATACTGGATTCACAGGTTTGTAGTAAAAATTATGCAACAAGAATAGAGGGCTTCTTGCTCTGTAGGGCTTAGTTTTAACATACTAATACATTTCACTTCTGAGAATATACAAGTAATGTCTTTTTGACACCACTATGTAGTTTTATAAGGTAATTTGTCAGTTAACTTTTATCTCAAGCTTACAAAACTGCTTGTCAAAATCTTAAAATTTTCCCTTTCTTCCTATAGACATATACATATCTAATATAAAGATCATAATTTAAAGATCATAATTTAAAAAGGGAAACTAAGTGAAATATACAGCCATTTTCCTTTACCCTCACAGGAAAAAAAAAGAGTTGTGTCTAAGCTGTCAGAAAAATCTCCTCATTCTTCTGCAGTCTCCCATCCTCTCCAAAGGGTAAAAAAGCATTTCTTTTCCCTGTAATCAATGGACTTTGAGGAAGAAGCAGGAAACCCTGCTAAATTTCCATTTGCAAGGACTTCCTCTTCATCGTCTTGTTTCTCTCCTCCCTGTTTCATTTTATATCCCAGTTGTATCTCAACTCCTGATGTAACTTAGGTCTTACATCTCTGGCAGGCCTAGTGGGAAGGGAATGAGGATTTGGGGGTAGCAGAGATGCATTCATCAAGTAGATTGTTGTCTCAAAGAAAGATGCTGCTCTGGGATGTGTGGCCAAATCGAATACGCAGTAGCTGAGTGTGAGCAGGAATCTGGGACTTGGTATTTATCACTTTACTCACCTCAGAATCATACGTATATTTTAACTCATTTCCACAGTAAGGTCTTGTGTCATGAGGTTATAAGAGTAGCTAATGAGTTTTAGGGCAACAAAATGCTCCCTTATTAAAATGGCATTTTTGATCACCTATGTGAAAAGAAAATTTGTTGATAACTGCAAACAAACTAGCTTCCAAGCAATGCACTAGACTTTAGGAATTCTTGTATGACATTAAGTTTCATGTAGGAGCTGTTCAGCATAGTCGGAAATAATACCATTTTAAAGCTATCCATTATATAAGAAAATCAAGAGCAATGTATGTTTACAGGCTTGTCCAACAAGACAACTGTTGTCTGTACAACAGTTGGCAAGTCCCAACAATTCACTGTCTCTATATCTGTCATGGTTTTGCTTGTTCTTAGAAACTAAGCAGGAATTTTCCCTTCCCCCTGTCCACTGTGTGAAGGGGATGTTAAACGGGCAGATTGGCTGTGGCTCAGGCAATTGAGTAACACAAAAGAAGTGGCTGGTAAAACCACATTCCAAGTTGATGGCCCTCAAGATCTTGTCTGTGGGGAGGGGTGAGGAGTTCTTTTTCATCTTTTTTTCTGCTCTCCGGGGAAAGGGGAGGGAGTTGTTGCCTGAGCTGGGACGGGGGCTGGGTGGCAGGAATTCAGGGGTGGTTTTGTTCTCAGCCTGGCTGCCAGCTGGGAATTTTGCTTGGATTTTCATCGACACTACAAGCTCTGCACCTCCAGTGATTCCACAATGCCCCCCGCTGACTGTGGTTAGAACTGCACAAAATGGCGCAAATGGAACTTACTTTTTCTGTTTGTTTATTTGTTTGTTTTGAAGGGGATTATTTTTGGGTATAGGATTAGTGTTTGATTGTTTTATTTGTGTTCTTTTGCTGTTTCTGCCAATAGACATAAATCTTTTTAAAAAGGGCTGTTATTCTTCCTTTTCCCACATTTTTTTCTCAATTGGAACCTCTAAATTTTGGATTTACAATTGCTTAGAGGGAGGAGTTTTTGTCTTCCTCATAAGTCATCCTCAGCAAAACACTTTTGTCACATTTAAACGGAGACAGCATCACACATGAACAGCTCCAAAAAGCTGTAAGCATTTTGGATGACTGGACAGCCACCAGACTTGCAGGGTGAATTTGTTTTCTACTACACAATTACGAATAAAAAATGCCATAATATTGATACAGCCACAGTACAATAAGGTATAATACCACCATTTAGGTATAAAAGAAAGTATTCACAACCACACAACCACTTCATAGGGATTTGGCAAAAATAACTCCCAAGAAACTCACACAGAAGTTGAAAGACAAAGTTGTTTGTGAATCAAAATACCTGTAAGAGATATTGAGGAGTCATGAATGTTTCGTTTTCTGTTTACAACTCGCCTATCCACAACTTCAATTCTTAACTACAGATCCCTCTCCATCTATGCAGTTTACCTGTTTACCACTTTCTATTAAAAAATGCTGGCAAGGTTGATTTTTACTGCATGTATAGCTGTTTACTTCTGAAAATCATTTTTTGATATGCTGCATAGGTTAGTATATCCCTTAAAAATATTTGCCAGTCCCATCTGCAGTTTGAATGTTTCTTTCTAAAAGACAAACCCAGGCCAAGCAAGACAAAGAATCTGCTGATACACACATGTCACTCCAAGAATTCTCCTGACAAAGTTCCCACACCCAATTTAATTACTTCCCTACTGTAAAAACACTTTCCATCTGCATTTATTGTAATAGTTTCAAATCCAAAACTAACAGACTATAAAGCTAGCTAAATAAATGAATGATATTGGCCTCAGGTCCCAAGCCAGGAGCTATTCTGTAAGGCTGTGTGTCTCCAGCATTCATTTTTATGCTGATGTTTCATTTTATGTGCAGTGTTTTCACTTAAGCCTTGTTTAGAGAAGAATTACCTTGCTCCAGGCTCTAAAGTGTGCGTGCCATATAGAGCCCTCTAGTGCTGCTCCAGCCCAAGGTCTGTCAGAGATTCCTCTCCAAGACCAAAGTCACATTGTGACCAAAAATCCCACTTCAGCCTGTATACAGAGAACTGCACATGGTCAGGCTAGGAACGTTAATTTCAGCTGTATTTGATATGTCCTCAAACTGAGGCTGCAGAGCAAAAAATGAAAAGCATTTGTTTGTAAATATACCTTGAAATATTAAACTACCAGATTCAGCCTCTAGATTGACTATTTGTAATGTGGGTTCACTTGTGCATTTGGGAGGAAAAAAAAGCATCCTATTCCTCAGACTTAGTATGAAGAATTTAATTACAGCTCATAAGAATTTCTTGATGTGCAGAAATAATTACAGTCCACAGGGCTGTTGCAATATCATACTCTGATGAAATTACATCAGACTATGGACTTCATAATTCTTAAAAGCTGGAGATACAACAGTCTCATTTGGACGAGCATGATGCAAAACTATGCACATATATGAATGTTATGCTAAGTTGGGATTCTCCATGGTGTCAAAATACTCAGAAGGAGCTTGGCGTTTGTAATAAATTTTAATCCAAAGCAGCAGCACAGCAGATACATTTTTCATTTAGAAGTTACAAGCAGAGAAGGGTAAACCATAACTCCACTGAAGTCCAGGGCAAAACTGGTACTGACTTCACTGAAAGTGTATTTGGACATTGAGCTATGTATTCCCTTACATATATTCAGTTCTTACCAAACCAAATGAAAAGATAAAACCCACATGAGCTAATCAAAGAAATTCATATGGTGCACAGTACAGCTCAAATCACAGATACTGTAATGGTCTTGGATATTGCTGGTGACCCCCAGAGGATGCTGCTGCAACAGGAGCATAGTTAAGACTTGGTTAAGGATGGGTTTGAGGGGCAAGCCTTGAATTATTTGACTTTTCTGAGTTTTAATCACGTTAGTGAAATATCGGGTTTATTTTGTGGCTGTCCCCTCACAATTAAAGCTGTTGAGTTTTTGTGAAACTAAAATAGGTCTTTTAAATAGATGCAAGACAAAGACAAAAATCAGTGCAAAAGCACCAAAACCAGAAAACTATCCACTGTAGCCCAACAGCTTACTAATCAGTAGTAGTGGCCAGTCTTCATGAACAAAGATCCGGGGAAGGTTTTTACACCTTCCAGCCTGCACATTGGATTTTTTAGGTGAGACACAGTGTGCGCGGAACTGAGCCCACCCTTTAATCCTAAGGTTCATCTGCCAGGGCCAAGCACGCTTGGACGGTGGCAGCGAGGTCCTCAGGACGTAGATGGATTGCCTTACAGGGCTAGCGAGTTCCATCTGCCTGGGGGGGTGGCCCTGACTGGGGGGTGGCCCTGACCGGGAAAATCAACATGCATGCTTAACAGCACCTCTAAAACAATTACCACTTTGCCTGCTCAAAATTATTGATACACATACATACATGTGCAAAATATGGAAGTTAAATCCATTTCCTTTTTCCACATGAAATTAGAAAAAAACTGTGCTTGAAAAGTCTGTGCTTTTTAACAAATGTATGGTTTCTTCCCAGCTTATGAACACAGCATGTTTTTCATATGTGAAAACAAAGAAGTTTTGGTAAGGGTGAATTTTCCCAAATAATGAGTTAATTTTCCACACTGGAAATAAACTATATTTTCAATAAACTTCAAGAAAGTATGTCAAAAAAGGGATAGATTGAGAAAGTGAGATTTGATTGCATAGATTTCCCTATACTATTTAATAGTTCAAGTTTTTTTAGTTGAAGAGAACAATTCTGTGTTATGACATTGTCTAAACTCAAAAATGTGGATGCTAGGCTGCATCTTTGAAGGGAAAAAACCCTTCCAGAGTGAAAACCATTAAAACTGGCCCAATCATTTGTTCTTCACAAAATGTGACTCTGGTGTTCTGATGCTACGTATCCGCAGCACAGCTCTGTCTCATGCTCTGCCACCATGCCCGCAGTTAGCTGGCATTTGCCCTCTGGTACCATACCTGGGATTCTGCGTCTCTGAACCATCTGACTCTGTACACGGTTTCTTTACCTGCAAAAGCAAAGGAGTGCCAGTTACTCTCACGTGAAATACAACTTACTTGCTCACAGTTCACACACTTACAGTACTTAAAGTGGGTCCTGCTCTGCGCACTACGATCTCTATAAAATACTTCCCGCACTTTACAGCAGCAGTATGCAGCACTAAACAGTGTGTTTCATTATTATCCCATGAAGAGCTGCCAACTGCACTTCCCCAGGCTCCATTAGCATGTAAAATGTTCAGCTAAAATAGCTTGGGAGTAGTCTTAACTAGGAACAAAGAAACCAAAGAAACCAAAGAACCAGGTTCCCCATTTGGAAATGAGAAAGCCACACTGTTCTCGGCTTGGCCAAGAAATGTTTTCCCAATTGATATTACTCCTGTTTCCTGCTAAAGCTCACAATAATAAACACCAGGTTCTGGGGCAAAGCGCCCTGTTAGTTAAATATGAATAAATTCATATGGTAATTTTCATATTGTGAATCTGCTAACTGTATGTTAACTATATTTTCCTATTGCATCAATGAACACTTACACCATTTTCACTCATATTTGCAAGATCTAAGTACATAAAAGGTACTTCAACTTCCAATTCGACCTCTACAATACACTGCTGTAGGCTAATTGAAGATGATAAAATCCATTGCTGTCAAATAAAAATAGAAAACTGTGTTCTTGCAGACTAGATATCTCTTTGGGATCTTTATGATTTCCTGCAAAATCTAACTGTACCTTTTGGTAATCTAAAGTACATGCATTTTCAGTAGAGAAAAAACCATTTTGCTAATGCAGAATTCAGGACTGCGTGGGAGGTTTCAAAGCTCCATTTTTAAAGCCACCTAGAAACATAGTCACTAGGATTCAAATGATGTGACTGACACAATAGAAAAACCATTTGCATGACAACCAGCAAGTTCAGCAACAATTTTCAGGAATGCCTTGAATCAAGAGACTCTTCCATACTTATCTGCTACTTTACAGAAAAAAAACCCTGTGACTGTGAGTCACTTCTATTGAAGTTATTGATAAATGACACTCATCAACTCCAACAGAAAAAAAGATTACAGTAATGCTTAATATTTTCCCAAAATAACTCAACATAATGCCATGCAACATCACTCATAGATGTCTGAGTAAAAGCATTATGCTACAGGTGGTCATTTCTCTTATTCATTTGCATTGTAGATACTGAAAAAGACCTGTAAGTTCCCATACATGGTTATTCACAAAAATCAGTTTTCTGTAGCAATAATGAAAATTTTCCCATGATGACAACTTAAACCTGTGTTTATTATTGTAACAGTGTCATCCAAAACACTAAAAAAGTAGGAAACACAAAGGAACTTCTAATTACATTTTGCTTGATTTTTACTACCAACTTTTTTTCAACCTATCCAGTTTTAGCCCTTCCTTCTAATTTTCCTCCTCTTAGATTGTTTCTTTACTGTTCCTACTATGCGACTCCATGAACTTGTTAGGCACAGTGTGATAGGGAGAGATGAGATGGTCAGCATGAGACACAATGAAGGCTCACACAAACCCAAACCTCACAGGCACTATTTCATAAACACTCATGTGCAAATATCATTGCTATAGTTTTATGTTCACTACATTGTTATTAAAATAGCATAAGATATGAAATACAATAAAATACTTCAGATATAACCACATGACCAAGTACCACGAAAAATGTCTTCAGTGTGTGTTATATACAAATAAGAGAAATATTTATTCAGATTACTGTACTGTGTCAACATCACAATGAACTGTTAAAAAAATATATCCAAAATAATTTAAAGACACTGAAATTACAACAGGTCTTTTTTGAGATGAAATGTGTACTCTCTGAAGCAGTTTATCTCAATCGAGCTACAGAGGATTTGGCCAGAAAAATAACATTTTCATTTCACATATAAAATATAATTTAAAATAACTGAAAATATAATGTATTTATAATTATAAAATATAAAAATATAAAATACTATTGTAAATTAAAATTAATTAAAATAGACATTGCTCATAGAGATACAGTACAAATCCTAGTGGAGCTCCTTTTTCCATGTCCCTTTAACATCTACCCACTTCCAGGATACTTTTGCTATCTCCTTGATGTTAAATTTATTGGCATTTATAGATTCCTTTTCCAGTTTCTTTGCTGTTCTGTGGTTGTCACCAGACGCGCTGTCTGTCACATTTGCAATAGGGCACAGATCTCACTGCCCAGGTCAGGAAAGCTCAACAACTGATTTTAAAAAGTTGCTGGAGAGTCTGACAGTCAACCAGCACATCCCAACACCCTAACTTTGCAAAATGATGGCATGTCCTGTGGAGGACAACTACCATAGAAGCCCAAAGATAGTTCAACCAAACACTAACATCATCTGAGCACTTTTAACATACACAGTATATTAAGACCCCCTGGTTTATCTGTGCGGGGATGTGAGGTGCTTCTTCTCTCAGTTAAGCAGTAACTGAGTACTCTCAGATGAGTTGGCCTCCCCCTGCTCACTCTACTACTGCATTTAGCTCCGACCAACATTATAAAGCAATTGAAACGTCTGAAACATTATGCTTTATCTGTGTGGTAAACATAAAAAAACAAAAACAAACAAAAACCCTCCACCAAAACAAAACCAGCAACCAAAAACTGATAAATTTTGGTACACCTTAAAAAGGAGTAGCAAATAAAGCCACTGACCAACTACATCAAAAAGACTCACCTCCTGTTAGACGCAACAAACTTGGGCAGGACAGGAAATAAGTATCTTTTATTTACAAATATTGCAATGAAAGCACAATACTTCAAAAATAAGAGTATTTCAGGTTTTCAGCTTGACACATAGATGAAGCACTTCATCTATGATCATTATTCAATAAATGTACAGCAGAAGCACAGAGTATAGATGTGTCTTTTCCTCTGAGACTAAATGTAAACTTCATTGTATATCTTTAGGGTTCCTCTTTGAGAGAAAAAATTAATAAATAAAAATATAATTTCTTAAAGGAGGAACAACCATGTGATTTTCTTTCAAGTGGCCATATGGAATGCACACCATTTCTTTTTAAGGCTACTCAAGTAGCAAAACACATTTTGTTATTCATAAAATTACGCTACCCTTGAAGGTGAACAGAAAATCACTGTGAAAAAATTTGATCAAAGACTAAATGTTGTTTCCTTTGTATTCAGCTGTACTGTTTTACCCCTTAATCTGCTTGCTGACTGTTTTCAAAATAATTAACTTTCACTAACACCACATTTATTATTTACCTTCTCATGTGTTAAATGAGAAAAAGAACTTTTTTCTTTATTCCTGTTCTGTTTTCCTTCCTCCCCCTCTCTATTTACACAGGTTTTCTCACTATTTTAGTTATATTCATGTTGAAAGTCATTCACAAGAGCAAGATATCAGTTTCACTTTGAATTTTGTCAAACTGCACTGCACTCTCCCACTGGCTGCCTGCTACAAAATGTTCAGAAATTTTCAGCTAAAAATATGTACATACAAATATTTTAAAAAACGTGTCATGCCGTTATGCTACTGAATGGCTTTGGCAACTGAAAGTCGGAGGCAAAATCCCAAAACTGAAAGGGGATAGGGGAGAGTAAGGTGTACTGATACCCAGAAACCACAATTTTTGTGAAATGGCGGCCAAATTTATTTTAGATTTTAAGATTGTAAAAGCCCTGCTGTCACACTGTTCATGGACTCCTGTTGCAGTCTGGCTACTGAATTGCTGAAGATGCTATCTGCATGTAATACTCTCCCATCTCAAAGATGCTGGTACTGCATGAGCCTTAGGATTACTTCTCCTCAGTGCCAGGAGAATCCCATACTATCAGGAAATTTGACATTATCAATACTGTCCCTCTTTGCTTTGTCAGTTCCATCTCCCACTGTTCAAGTACCCAGGCAATACTCTGAAAGAGAAAACCTTGTAGACTCAAATACAGGGAGGAAGAGAGGAAACAAAAAAACAGGGAGAGGGAATGGAAATCACGGGATGAAAGAAGAACAGGCTCTTCACTGAGGCAAAACTAGAGGAGAGCAGCTGAAAAATGTGGCAAATGTAGGGATTGTGTGTGGAAAGTGGAAGAGTAGTGGGGCTGGCTGGGATGGGAGATTTTAAATATGCACACTATTAAAAGTGTTGGATACTATGACGGCACTGGAAAAGAGATGCATTTATTCATTTGTCACAGAACTTCAATAAAGGTGTATGATAAATATTTACATGAGGAATGATTTTATATTAAGTATGAACTTTGGATGCTTCATGTTTAACAAAGAAAGACTGAAGAACATAAACAGAAAAATTTAATCACACATTCATTGCAAAAAGAAGACATTCCCTGAAAAGCCTAGTATGTCAGTAATAAGATCTACACCATAATACATAAGACACTGTATTTCCACAGGCCATATTAATCCTGGCATTTCCTTGCTTCTGGTGTTTTTCTTTGCAACATTAACATCTTCTAACATGATTTTATTGGACCTCATTACAGTAAATGTTAAAACATGAAACAGTTCTGCTCTATGAGGTGTTCTCACACACACACACACACACACTCTGGTGGTATTAAACACCTAATGCAATACAGGTGAGAAATCCCTCCTAACACTTACAGCTGAAAAATCTTGCCACATCAGCAGTAAATTATTCTGGCAATGAATCTGTTGAGCTCCCTCATCCACTGCATCAAATATGGCCTTAAGCATCCCTCTCAAATCAGCAAGCATGCGGTAGGGCTGAGTAGAGTCTGCAGTGCTTTGGGCCTGGAGGAGGCAGCCACACACAGTAGAGCTATGGAGACTCTAACACGAAGGAGACAAGAATGAAGAAAGAGAAGTACTTTTTGCAGACCCAATGACATCTCAAGGCACATCTCTATGCTTGCTCAGCCTGTGTGACTGCTCTGGAATGTGGGCAGCACAGGTGTACTTCTACTGCCTAGACAACTTCCTGCAGCAAATTACTCCGGTGAAAGTTCACCTGCCTCTACACGC